TCTGCAAATATTCACAGTGGAATATTAATGAGTCCTTGATATTAAACCTCATTCGTAGTGTATAATGCAGTAAACGTTGATATTTTATCTAAGTACAAGGCTGTCCGGTCAGTTACCTTTACTTTGGCTCAGATTAAAAAAGAATGAGGTTCTTTATATAAAATTCAAATTGGATTGTTTTGGTAGACTATTACATACAATGCATAAAATTATTTTGGAAGTAATTAGATTTTAATGTTAAACAATTAATTTTTAGACATCTAGGAGATCATCTCTACCAACTCTTTTTATACATATTTTGTTCAATAAGCAAAGAAAATAGTACAGGATAATTTTTCAATTAAAGTTGCAAGAAAAACAGACTAGTTTCGCATTTCAACCATAATTTTTGGGATGTCTTGCAAAATTGCCTTAATTGCTTTCTTTAGACTAACTGGCCAGTCTTCCGGTGATTCAAATTGCAAATAATAGGCCACACCCGTTCTTATAGTTGACACATTGTTGCACAACATATATAAGCAAAAAGGCTACTTGCTAGCATTCTTGTATGTTACAACAATACACAGATAACATCAAACTAAGCTAAACATCTCACTGGCATTCTCACGATACCTTCTTTATTGTATTAATAGTTATGCATAAAGCCTGTAGATGGCTCCAGTCGATAATGATGATTCAACTGTGCCGCTGACATACTATATTCGTAACAAATGTTATTAGATAAGTGCTGCGGAAACCACGTTTGCGTCAAATTCGTCAAGTACAAGTCGGATAAGGTTCGGAAATACTTCTGGTGATACATCTGTCTATCTAATCCAATTCGGTTCAGTAATTTCGGAGATTGTGTTCCATTGATAATAATGCAGATAGATTGTCTGGTGTATTTGAGGACCTGTATGATTACACTACAATTAGCCTTCAGGAAATTCATTATAAAATATGTCAGTTAGGTCGATTTTAAGTTAAAATGTAACAGGTATCTTTTGTAAGAGACTTCTATACTATAATGAAGAAGGGACATCTAAACGGTTTGGAGGTCAAACGATTATAAACTTAAATGCCAGCATTTTTGTGTTGTAAACAAAAACACATGCAGATTAAGTGGCTCCCACGTGCTGTGCTGACGTCTTATCTAAGACATTTATCGCGAAATATTTTTAATTCCGATATAGAAATGTTACTAAAATTAATTGCTTTGTTATATTGGAATTTTTAGCAATTTTGTCTATCGTTTTTAGCCAGTGTGTTCTATGTGTTACAATCGACGCTCGCGTACGATAATTGTTGCCGGGTTGTTTTGGTTTCCAGTCATTGTGTGCCCATTAAGCTTGTTACCCGCGCCGGGACGGTCACCTCTACATACGCTTGGACAGTGCCTCTTATTACATCATAAAAATACCGACCAGAAAATACCTGGTATCTTGTGTTTTAAAAAGGAACTTTATGGAACTTGGTGTAGTGCTAATGACCGTTTGACGATGTAATTAAGTGAAGAAGGTTGGGTTTTGTTTTGTATTAAGGCGAAGGACATGGCGACGATCATTGTGAGTGGGAAGGTAACAATCGATTCCTTATAAGTTTGATTACCAAAAGACTACGTTTTTCATACATTTTTAAATTAGCGCTTCACTTAATTCAAGCGGATTTCTAATCATTGTTTACCACATATAATTATTATTTAACATAAGAAACCAAGTCCTCAAGATAGCTGGAAATCACTGAGTGCTCTTTATCGAGTTGATATCATCGCCTATCAATGATTATACGGTATATTTCAGTAGTGTACCACTTCGACAGTAAATGTACTCTTATATTATGTATTTCAAAACTGTATGTATATTGTATAACCCGACTATATGTATGGGTGTATAAATTTGCGGTTGCCGATATGAATCATAGGAAGGAATATAAACAGTTTAATATTCAATCCATGGCAAGCACACGTATCGAATATAATGAAAATTATTTACACTAACATTCAGACTTGAAGTTATAATATTGTGATTAATTTATATAAAAATATTCTATTAGTTTTTTAATTAGTGAGTGTAACAACGAAACATGACGCGTACAAATCGATTTTCTCAAATAGTGGAAAAGGTATTTTTTTTTATTATTTCATTTAAACAAGGAAAGTGTGAAGTGAATTCTATGCATAAGTTGCTCATAAAATGATTTTATCTTTATGCTATTACGTAGCTTATGTTTTAAGAAATAAGGATTATAATGAGATAGCGAATTGTTTCATATTTTCTTTATTACCAGAAATACATTAAGTTGGTTTTCCTTTACTTACATGTACTTCTGATATTAAAATCTAGTATCTTATGTTATTACACTAAGAGTTTGCAAACATGAAAATGAAAAACGAATTTGAAGTACTTAACTCTACTAGTTTCAAGTCAGAACAGGACTCGTATTCGGACTCGTATTGTAACAGAGTGTGTTGACTTGAAACTAATAAAGAAGAGCTTTTCTCAGCTAACTATACATAAGTTCATATATCTAATATGACTTACGACAGTTTGGTACCTACTATTAGAAAAAAAAATAGGTATTTTTTTTGTAGTTGTATAATGCACTAAGGAATTTTAAAGGAAAACTGTTAATTTAGCATTGAATTAAAACTATAGCATGGTACCTATTTATAGAAATGAGTGTAAAGGAAATAGGAATTGAATTTTTCGCAGCTGACATTTGCCGAAATACTGAACCAAATAAACACTGTTTTACGGACTGACATTCAGACAGTGAACTTTAGCCAAAATGCTAACTCTATGAAGTTTTTACACCAGTAAAATCGGCCTACAGACACGGCACATTATAGTAGAGATGTATTTTACACAAAACTACTGAAGATTGAGATAGGATTTGAAAAAGATATTTTTTTGTTTGTTATTTGTTATAAAAAACGTTGCCTCACACTAGGATTTTCTCTACGCATACGCATGACACCCAGACCCAGTACAACAATTTGTGGATCACACAAAGAGTTGTTGCGTGCGGGAATCGAACCCGCTACACATTCCACGGCAGCCAGTTGCCCAACGACCAACCAAATAACCGTGTAGTCAATGTTAGACCATGATAGGATGTTTGATATCAGGAGAACTATTAGTCAATGGTAGAACGTTAATTGATAGTTACAATATTTGGTACCTTCAATTAACATTTAAGTTTTCATAATAACACATAACATATTGCCGTCATGAAACCCTGATAATTATTCATTCATTTATTAATAAATTTAATCATGAGTCAGTAACAAAATAAACATTTGTGATTCCTGTATTTTTGTCCTTACATAATGGGAATAACTTATAAAGAGATTTCACATACAGTGATGAAAACTTAATTTTTTTGACTACAGGCCCCATTGTCAGCCTGTAATTATTCCACTACTAGTACTCTCCTCACTCTGAGAAATAATGAGAAAGAATTTTCTTAAAATTTCCCTTGAATGCACACAAAGTACGAATTTTCTCCTCTACTGTGGGTGCATTAACAAACATAATTCCACTTATAAAATCCACCTAAACCCGGAACAACAATTTGTGGATCACATATAATAAACCCGAGAAATGTTTAGCAGCTCAGCTGTTCGACCAGTCAGTGCGCCAAACATGTTGTAAAATATGCCTTTTTATTAATTATTATCTATTTAACTACTAGCTTGCCTTCTTTCTTTTCATCTATTCTTATTATTAGTTGGTGTTTTGTCATTTTTTTCCACTTTTCAACTAGGTATCATCATAATATACCTTCAGTTTTGATTTATCACCTTTTCCTCCTTTTTTGAGAAATAAGTAACTTAATTTAAAATATTATTGCGTCATATGTTCCAATTTCATGCAACGTTAATATAAAAGTATCATTTTTGACATTTCAATACTTAAAGTATTGATTATTTACAACTAATTGGATAGTACCGAATTGTATTGATTAACCATGTTCTGATTTTAAATGAATCCTTTATTCATAATACTAAAATAACGGCAAAAGGTAATGACCTTACTACATACTTATTTGACCTTTAAGTCTACCCTTATCCCATTGTTTATGTGTACCTACTTATTCGGTATTTGTGTTGGAGCACTCAGTTCCAACATTTGTATAGCGCCTGTGAAGGGTACACTGTATTGAAGTACTTTTTTAGAAACTAAGATAAGGTAATTTATTTTTAATTAAGACAAAATTATTACAATTGTTACAATTTATTTTTCCATAAATTTATTTAAATTACCGTAATATTTTTTTTTAATTAAAACATACTAAATCACAATAATAATTTTCTTAAAATATAAAATTGTGTATAAGCTTGGTCCTGATGGTCAGGACTCCAGAGACAGAAACCTCATGATGCAAACAAACAAACAAAACAGCTTTTGATATCAGCCCTTAATTCTTCCTAAGATGGTTGTTGAGGCTTTTGAGAAATAAGCCATTGAGCGACTAAACTATTAGCACAGTAGTGATAGCCAATATCACTGTTATTTAGTTACTACGTCATATTTCTTTTCCAAATATTGATCTTAAATAATATTTACTTAATCTAGAATCGAACTGTCAAATGCGACTGCTTATTGGTTAGGTTCTTAGTTTATCATTACTACATAATATAAACCAAACCAGCTTTCTGTGTCCATATATCCTGAACTAGCTACTCTCGCGCGATTTTACCCGCTTCTCGGCTCCATTCAATCGTAGCGTGATGTATTATAGCCTATAGCACTCAGGAACATTGTAGTAATCTATCAAAGAAAGAAAGATGGCAATCCGACCAGCAGTTCCAAAGCTTACCCCCTACATAAAAACTTACAAATTTTACCTCTTTATAATATTAGTCCTGAATAAATCAAGCTTGAAAATAAATAGTAATAGAGTATATTGACAATTTGAGTGTTATTCTGGCCTACTTTATACCATTAACAACTTTATCACGTATAAATGTATCGCAAATTACCACACATATTGTATATATTTTTTTCTTTCTTTTTCAGGAGTCTTGCCGGCTGGTCGGCGGCTCCAAGTTCTACGAGATGATGGACAGCGCGACATCAGCGGACGTGTCCACTCCCTCGCCCACTGAGAAACATGACCACATGAAGCCTACTGAGAGTGATGATGAAGGTGATTGTTTTGTTACAAATAACATACATTGTTATGTACTTAGTTCAAACATGTGATAGCCACATTTCTTTGAAAGGTACTTAGTACGCAGTATGATCAAAGTCAATGGGCCAGCTGTTTCAAAAAAATTGGCTAGCGGTAACTGCCTCGTTAGGTCTGATTTTTCAAAGGTTAAATAAGTTACCTGGGGAATAATTATGATGCTGTCGCGTAGGAATGTTTGTATAAGACAGTAACAGTAATAATTTTATTCCTCAGATAACATTTATCTGACTATTGAAAAATTTGCCCTTAGTCGAATACTCGAAAGTTTCGACTGCTAAACATAGGGCTGTCCTTGGTTCAGGTAATTAAGTTTTTGCACACCCCTTTCGATAACAATTGAACGCAGGCTACTCGATGTCTTGTTTAAGTATTATTTTTAGACGAAGGCGACTCTGAGAGATTATGTAAACATCCTTTGGTACCACAATATTTATACAGTATGACATGTAACAATGTGGATATTGTCTGGACTTGCTGCTGAACGTAGCACGCGTTCGATATCCGCACGGATATTTTTTTGTCGTGTACAAATCATTGTTTAGGCTCAGATGAATGATGAAACAATACAATCAAATTGGATATATGTACTGTTGATACGTAATTTGTATTGGTTTATTGAACCATTACAGGAGAAACCCTTCTTATAGGGTAACGCTTTTTTAAAAGGGTAGGGCCGGGTAGTTCATGGTGTGCTCAAATTAAGAAGTACCTCGCAGCTGGCCTTTTATAACTGCCGAGCATATGACCTAATGCATAATATTGTTATTGAAGCTAAAGACTTTTGTATGGATCGTACTAGATGGCGTTCTATGGGGCCCCCTACTCCCAATACACAAAGGCTTATTTATAAAATTATTGGACTAAGGGCCTGTGGTGACAATGTCTGAAAAGCAGCTTATACTAGATACATTTGAATATAGAATGCAATTTGTATTAATTATGCGACACATAAGTTTAGAGAACTTAGGTATATGAGGATGGCAAAATAAGGCGCACTAGGTAGCGGGCTTTGCGGGAGTTTTGGTGGTTGTCTATGGACAGACGAATCAAAACTGAGTAAATATTAAATATGTATTATATTATTTCGTTTTAGCCTAAGGTCAGACAGCCCTCGGCCTGACGACCTATTTGACTTTAGAGTAACTGTGATTTATGAGCTTTTCCATCTTTGACGAGTTAACAATAATCGATTCGTAACGACTCGTATGTTGTACAATGATTACAATCAGTCCATCAGTAAACGAATCAATGAAATTATAATAAAGTGATGTCGAGAACAAAACTGAACAATATCAAACTTCAATAAAAATCCAATAAAATTATTGTTTGTTTTTAAAATAAAACCTATTTAAGGCAGTTACGTAATAATAAGCCGAGCCTTTTACAATGCACTGTCATACTTAAAAAATAGCTGTAGGATCTACCGACAGCTATTTTTTGTCAGTAATTTCCAACAATAATATGTAGTTTATTGTATGGGAATGGTTTCCTAAACTCATTGACTTGACCACTTGACTTCCTTAAAAGACCAGTGAGCCTATACGTTAAAAAACTCAGCAATTCTCATAAGATATAGGTACAGACCCTATCAAAATGTAATCTCAAAGCCTGGAGATAGAAAATCCTTTTATGAAAATGATTATGATAAATACATTGTAACTAAATATTCCCAGTATTTATTGAAATTTGACCAGTTTCAGACGTAGACCAAGAGTGCACGAGGTTCAGCGGTGTCAGTTACCTCGGTGCACAGAATATATCGGACCCCAAATCAGAAAGTGACATCCAACGCATCATGAAGGAGCTCAGCTCTATGCCAGAAAGTAGAGATGGGATTGCTGTATCGATATCGATACCCGTATGCTCGCAAGGACTGGTAGTGTAAGTATCATTTTGTTTATTCGTGAACTTCGTACCGCCTCAAAAAGTTTTGATAGTAAATATTAGTTTTGTTTCTTGTCAAATATGTAGGTATGTGTGTTGCTTACAGAGCAGTTTTTCTGGCAGAGAAAATTGGAGTGTGTTTTCATATAATTTTCCTCATTGTTTGACCTCACCTTCCTGAAGGTAGCTTCGTACGTTCATGGAACTTTTATCAATATTTCAAGACCAAAATACATAAATGTCCAGACGTTTCACAGTTAAGACGAGACTTAAAAATTTAAATTCATTTTTATATATAATTATTGTACTCGGTAGGTAGTTAGGTAGTTGTTGTAGTGCTACTAGCTGGTAACACCAAATTCCGTCAAGCGTATTTCGAAACAGTGTGCAACATGTCCTTTTGAAAATTTTCAAGCATCTACATAAGGCTTAATCTGTAAATTTAATCCAGAGATTCCTCGCTCGATAGAGATATAAATATCACTGAAACAACAATGTTCAGTAGTGTTAAAATTACTACTCGATGATCCGCAATATGTGTAAATGACTCAACAACAAAGTATCCTTGTTTAAATGTTTAAATTACTTTATCTGACTGAAAAAAAAAACATGATAACGGATAGGCATCCAAAGGGAGTGCTTGTAAACTTAGGTATGAAGTACATATAGGTTTTGTCAATATACGTATATGACCTAAAAGTCAATATAAAAAAGAACCCAACACTGTAGGTATAGTAAATAGGTACCTTATCTTTATGTTGTGTGCTAAGGTTGGGTAGATATTCAAGTTATTTGGCGAATAATCGTTAGGTTTTAGAAGTCTATCTTCTTTTATTTTATGTCATAGATCGGTACACGAGCAGACGTATTACCTGATGGTAAGCAATCAGTTCCGTCCATGGACACCCGTAACATCAGTAGAGTTACGTTTGCTATGCCGACCTTTTGGGATTAGGATTCCGGAGATTTAGGGATTGGGGAGGGATTTTTTTATGATTTAGGTCGCCAAACGAGCAGACGGATTACCTGATGGTAAGCAATCAGCGCCGCCCATGGGCACCCGCAAGGAAGGAGTTACAAGTGCGTTGCTGACCTTTTAGGGATTAGGGATTTGGAGATTTAGGGACTGGGGAGGGATTGGAGAAGGGGAAGGATTGGGCCTCCGGTAACCTCACTCACACGGCGAAACACAATACCAACACCCATTCGTGCCGAAGCATGGCTCTTCCACACTTATATGGGAATGGAAACATTTCGGTACCTTACTAAATACAACGCTCGCTGTGGTTGTTGCAAGCCGGTTGTCTGTGAAGACGTTATGTCACACGCATTTGTGCCGAAACATGGCTCTCCCACACTTAATGCTAATTGTTGTGACTACTATGTTAATTATCATTAAATAATGCCCAATCTTTTTCCTCAGGCTATATCAAGCAGACTCAAACAATGTGATGACACGGTACGCGGTGAATCGTATCTCGTTCTACGCCCGCGGCGCTGCAGGGTCGCCGGTCGCCTCCTGCTTCGCCTTCACATGGTCCCACGGCGAGACCAAGGAGTCCGCGGTTTATAGGTGCCATGTCTTCAGGTGTCACATCGCCGAAGCCGTCAATCAAGTCTCAAGTAAGTAAAATTAGCCTGTTAGGTTTAGGTTGATGAAATAAAACTAAGTTAATTATCAAATAGCAGAGGCGGAATTTATCGTTATAATTTGGGAGGTGTGTGTTGCCTGAAGGCTTAAGCAGAACCGAATAAGGGTGGGATGCAAACATCTCAGTGTGGGTTGGCTGATCACTTAAGGCACTCATAATAGTGGCGCGAGAAACATAAGTAGATTGATTTTTGTTATTTCATATGAAAAACTAGCTAGCCACGCTAGATGCACGGATGATGCAGCGAAATTTGGATAAGCAACTGACTGATGTTATATGATTATGAGCCCCTCGCGTAGCTTGAAACTAGTCGAGCTCAGTTTAGTGAGTAAGCTGTATAAAATAATTAAATATAGTCTACCTCACCAGTACCACAAGTGAAACCATGCAAATTATTTGTGTCGTTATTATACGTATTATGTAAGTAAAGTACATGGTCAAATAAGTCCGAGAACGAGAACCATTTATCAATTAGTCAAGTTTATTACCTTTTTGCACCATATCCTATTGCTATTAACGTCAAAAGCTGATGCTCATTAAGCCGTAGATTGAGTTTCATTTGCTTCCACATTTCGCCTTTAATTGGGCACTGGCGATAAAAAATTTCGGACGACGACGTCGGGGATCATTTTTTACGTCAAAATTTCTAGAACGAAAGCGGGCCACCCAATAAAGGTTGGTGTATTCGTTCCGTACGCCTCGTTGATGTTGTGTTGCTTTGCTGTCACGACTGTATTCAATAATAACTCGAAAAATAATATAAATAGGTAGTTTCCTAGGTCGACAGTTAATTATTTTGACTATACAGTACAATGAATACACATGATTTGATCCATTCATAGATTTGACTATTTCCTCTTATTTTAGATTTTTTCAAGCACATTTTTCCGAAATACGTATGATGTCAGACGTCAAAACATGACGTCATATGTTGCGAGTTTATACAAAATTTATAGAAAAGTATCCTTTTTTTACATTTCAATAAAAGTATTGAATAAGTAGGTAGTTGGAAACTACCGGATTATGTTCGTATGTGTTGAAAACAAAACGCTATTAGAAAATGACGATTCAAGAAAAAAGAATCCCATTTTCTTAAAATAAAATTAATTTGAAATTGAAATATACAGCTTAAAAAATTTAAATTCAAAATTACCAGTACGGCAATTTCATCCACACTAGTGCTCAAAACTATTGAAACTGAATAACGCCAACGAATTTAAATTACTAGTACAAACTTACGTGTCTCCTATTTGTTAGGATTTGTAGTAATGGTCCATTACAAATGTACCTAATATCGTGACGATACATTGTTATTGTGTGTGTGCAGAGGAAGTAATTGGGCACAGTTCACGCATCGCATGTATAGCGCGTTGTACACGAAATATCTGTTTAGTTAGTTTAGGGATATTAAGTAATAGCAACTTTTTAATACCGATTTTTTAAAACTTTATGTGTATGAAGGAATGTGGTGTTTGGTGTTGACGTTTAGTTATGGGTATGGGTGTGCGGCAATTACTCTTGTGTTAAGTTTTACAAATTATGTGTGTCAATCTGCGAAGCAGCCAGAAAACTCAATAAAATTGATACTTAAAAAATATCAAGCTGAACATTGTCCAGCCACAAATTTCAGTGAATCAATGAAATCTAAAAGTCATAATTGTTTAATGTGGTGAGTAAAACTCAATATTAAAAGCGCAACTTTGCCTTTTAGCGTCTTTAAAGAAGGACATAAACACACATGATATTTTTTTAATCCGTAAGGATAAATTGCCTACTTTAGTCTCATTCTTTTATTTTATTTTTATGTGTTACTAATCTACATGTTGTGCCTTCTTTATGTAATGAGAGAATCCCCTATGTATTGTATGTATAATGTCAGTGTCATCCTCTAGTATAAATAAGGTGGCCGAGAGGGTGTCGGCCATTGACAATGTGACTCTAGTGCAGTGAGCTGCCCGAGTGTGTACTGTGATTTAAAAATCAAGTACTTGACTTTAAAATCACTATATCAAGTCTTTCATTCATATTACTGTTATTTCAATGCAAAACATTTCATATAATATCCAAAATACTATTGCTACTTGGCAACGACTTGGCAACAATCACACTTGTATCTTGTATTTCCATGTTTGTTAAGCACGGCGTGGGTGCATGACATCTAACTGTCAGATCACGCATTGATTTACCCAGTCTGTTATTATAGTTCTTTACGTAAACTCTCGAGTGTTGTGTTAGCAATTCTACCGTATTTTTGTGTTTGTTTATTGAACCACCATCGCTTAGTACAACATTTATTAAAATCGGTATAGTGCCTGTGGTTTGACAGTGAAAATGAAATTAAAGAAGTAAGGACCAGCTTCTATGCTGTCAAAAAAGGTTTTTATTAAAAGTGATGGATATGTTTTTTCTATATTCTTTATTACAAACCGAGTGTAATTTGAATATCTGTTTCTCAAAACTGAGTATATAAAGGTGTATGAGAAAATTTCTAATTACTTTACGATCAATCTTCATTGGCAGTGCGTTAAGAGAGTTTATTATTTAGCAACAGTTACTGTAATATCTAATAACTGTAACAGACTTTATAAACTCGTACAAGAAAACGTACTGAAGCCTTTTAATTTCAGTTATGTATTTACACACATTACGAAATCACCTTCCCGTTTACTGATAAAGTAGATACGATGCAAAGTGTTCACTACAAAATAAACAAATGATAATTTTAGAAATAGAGTAGGTAATTAATGGGCCGCTTTTACGAGATAGTGTTACGTTCGATATTCAAACGTTTGGTGGTTGAGTTTCTTTTTTAATATAAATTGTGATTAAGGAAAACATTTTTGACTGCTTTCGTGATACTGTGCAAGGAGTTTGGGTATGTAGTTTGAATTCATGGTATAGATGGATTTGTTGCATTGAGGAATAAAAAAATCTTAATAATCATTTACCCTAATAAAACTTTGTCTGTTTTTTTGAGGAAAACAATTTATTCATATGCAACATACAGTTTAACAAAACAAATAGAAATTTGCTCAACGTGAAGGCATTCCTTTTCTGAATATTTATAATTACAGACATAGTTTATTAGTATAAACTGTAACACTACATATTAATAGTGTTATAAAAATTTCCCCTGTAATAAAACAAAAATAACTTAATTTATATAAAAAGTATCATTATATATTATGGTTTTTAGTATTTAAAAGTGGCCCATTTTTTTATGGTTGGCTGGCGTTTGCTCGCAATTTCTCTGGTGGTAAACAATGATGTGACCTACGATGGACACATCCACCTTATAGGCAACCCATTTACTTGGGCCTGGAAGACACCTAGGTTTACCCTTCGGAGAACTCATAATCCGTCTAAGCATCCACTCCTTAGCGGTTCTGGTGATAAAACTGGAGGCGTATCGCTTCGTGCCTCTAGTATTTTGCACATGTCTAAACAATACATATTTTAAATATCATGTACTTAAAACTTTTTTTAAACAATCAAGTTTCTTAATATGGTATTCAAATATACAAGAGAAAATGAGCCTTTATCTGCTTAACTTATCTTGTAAACAACAATGCATCATAGAAGATATTTTTATTATATTTTATCTCACACTGATAATGTAGAAAGTCACTTTATTCACTAGAAATATTGAATGACAGGGACTCCTAGGAAATTTTTAACAAAATATTTTCCTTCACTCATCCATCAGTCGGTCAGCCATCGACACTAGTATCCAGATAACGGCTTACGTATTACATTACTGGTGTCGATTTAGAATAAATGCTTTATTTTATTTTCCTGTTAATTATTTAGCTTAGAAGTTGTATCGGAATATAATATAAAGAATTTTATATAACAGGAGTAATTATACATCTGCTGTTATGCGATTTAATAAAACAATCGCATTAAATGTTTTATTTAGCATTAAACATTAAGAGATAAGTAATGAAATGTAGATATTTAATTTAAATGATTTAAAATTAATCTTTAGAATTAATGAATATTTTGTGTACATAAAAATAAGTACATTAAAATTTGACGGGCACTTACTATTTACGACATTAACGATATAAGATTACGAGGCTGGTTTAGGACTAGTGGACTCAAATCGTTACACTTTCCAAGACTGAAATAGCAATAGACATAATCCTTTTTAATCTACCTACCACAAATCACCCTCAGATTATTAGTGTCAAAATTTTACCTATATTTCCGTATTATCGATCGTGTGACGTCATTTAAGTCGGTGGACTTGAACGTCTGTCCCCTCAAGGCTGCCCGATGACCCGGTTGACGCGCCACCGAACGCGAGGCTAAGGCCTTCGCTTATATTTTGTTATTAGTTCAGTCGTCGCCGTCGACGATTCATTAGGCCGTCTGTATGGGAAGCCAGTTCATGTTCGAAATGGTATGAGTTACAATTTATGAGGGATCGTATTGATGGTAGAACTTTTTGATATGCAATAAATAAAGTGCATTGTTATGTTGCTTACCTACATACAAGCTTTGTTTTTTTATAATAACACACATGAAACTAGTTTGTATCATAATTACATTATAAAACAAAGTCACTTTCTTTGTCCCAATATCCCAATGTATGCTTAAAACTTAAAAATTACACAACGTATTTTGATGCGATTTTTTTAATAGATAGAGTATTTTGGATCATCTTTGCATCCGTGCGAAGCCGGGGCGGGTCGCTAGTTATAGATATTACAGAAATAAATAGATTTATGAGGTTAATAACGCCATTATACATAGTTATTATTCATGTATTAGAACTAAAATGGTGTAACAAAGTTCACAGAAATCGATGTAGTAAATTGTTTGACAATGTCGTTCCTACAACGCTGGTTATGACTCAGAATATGATTGCCGTCTGATTTGTTCGTTATCAACTCGATTGGATCGTTCGCGGTTTTCGGTTGTTCATTTACTCTCTTGTTTTAGTGGACAGCACTTGTATTGCGGTGTTTTTTTTTATTGTAAACTGAAATATACCTTAGTGTGTAAAGTTTATGGTTGCAATTTAGTTGATAAGCAGTGTTTTTATTGTGCATTTTTTGTGAGAAGGTACTTTATAGTGGGTGTTTGTTTTTGTGAATTGTTTTTGCATCTCTCTTAGTGTTATTGTTTGAATTATTTAAGGTAAAAATTAATTTTATGCAAGGATTAATTTTTATTCACTAAAATGTTCTATTGGTTTTCAGTTACATTTATTTTCTAATTACTCACCTAATTAATTAACCTTGGTAGGTACATTGGTTTAGTAAAATACTTCGGTTAGCCAGAGTCTAGCCTCTATCTGGTTTCCGCCCACTCATTCGATACCGTTGATAATATTTACTAAACACAGTGAATACTAATGCATGGTATTAATAATTTCTCATTGTATGGTTTGCCCTTCTGCACAAGGACAGTTGTTACAACGCTGTATCAACAATTTTAGGTCAAACTTTTTAACACATGTTTTAAATTAGTTTTCTATAGTAGGACGAAAGTTTAACCATTAAACATTTTTTCTTTGTTTATCTATGTTATGCTAGTCCTTCTAATATGATACATAAAGTTGTATGTATCCTTATAACTAAGTTTCACGTAAAACTATTAATTAGAACTGGATGAAATTTGGCACGGAGATAAATAATATAGTCTGGAATAATACAGGCTACATTTTACTCTGGTATCACGGTCGAAATTGTTGATGGCAGCCAAAGTAACAAAAGGTTTCAATATTATAGGAACGAAATTATTACAAGACTCACAGTGTGAGGAATACGGCGTCTGCATAACAATAAAACTTGAGTATGACTTTCCTGAGAGACGATCAGTGAGTTCAACCATTACGTTATTTATAAGGGTTATTGGATTTTGTATAAAAATAAAATAAAAATATAAAATAAAAATACATATGTATTTATTATGCTAGAAATTAGCAGTTATACGAATAAAGTTAGTTCACGAATAATGTAATAAAATTAACTATAATTTTGGTATATAAAAGTTGATTTTACCGCGACCTTGTCCTTGTGAATTATCCTATTGTATATGTGTGTATAATGTACTATGTATACGTGTATTTATATATAACAAATATAATTAAATAAACTTTTAAATAACCTTTACTTTTTATATCTCGTGTTATTCCATTCTCTTTGACACGAAATAATTTCATCGTATTTTATTAAAAATTATAAGAATTTGTATTTATTTACGCGTGTGCTATTGTTTGCTTACCTTATATTGTCAACAAGACAGAAATATAATTTTATAATATCTATGTAAACTTTACCTATCAGTGTCCTGACCTCTGACCAAAGTCAGATTATGGTTCGCATTGCAACCACTGGAGTATCATCGGTTGTGTAATATATTTCCCTAACGGTCAACCAGAGTTCGCGATAACATTGTTATTGTTTACGCAACCGAGGTCAAATGATGCGACCTGTTACATTGAGCTACGATTTAACTTTAACAAACATCAATTAGGAACACTTTTCAATTTATTCTTATGTGACGAGGAAGTTTGGTTGCTTTGAATTCATCTATCTTTATTTGTGTGTATTGGTTCTTCTCAATATTGTCTCCAATAAAGTCTTATATCTATATTGATATACATATATCTATAATAATTTAATTTATTTGGAGTGGTGTGTAATAGTACGTTAATAGCTTCTTTATGTTACTGCATTATATTTTTTTCAATTTTCTTTTATTTCTTGTCATGATAACACTATCGTATGTATTAAGACATGTGTATACCCAAGGAGTACAAAAAAGTTTTATTCTTAGCTACCAAATAAATATGTATTCCTTTTTTAACTTTAAGTCTAGCCAGTAGCAAAAATAATCTAGTTTTGAATAAAAATATGTAATGTTTTTTTTCTTTTTCAGGCTGTTTCGCCAAAGCATTTGAGCGTATTCCCCGCTCGATGGCGTCATCCCTGGTGGGTGACCTGAGCGCAGCGCCCTCTATGACCGGCTCGCTCACTGAAGGCATCGGCCCTGCAGTCCCACCGATGCAACTCATGCACGTTCTTGAATGTACTGTGGATATCAAGGAGACTGATGCGAAGGTAATTTGAATTCTTATATTATAAAAAATAATTTTTCGATTCGAACCTGTTCTTTCACAGATTAAAAAAAAATTCATTTTTCATTTCCAGGGTACATTCAGCCATGTCCCGAAGGAGCGACTCGGCTTCAAACTGCGCGGCGGCATCGACAAACAAGTGACTATCAATGTGAAACAGGTCACTAACAACGTACAGCCAGAGTCTGATGATCCACAGGTTAGATTTTGATTTTAAAACTTCGCAAGCAAACCTGTATTACTTAGAGTGAGCCATGCTTCGGAACCAGTAGGCTTATTCGAGCTCACTAATACTAAAGCCTTATATAAAACAGACATTAAAGTTTTTGAATTTGTGTGATTCGCAATTATTAACAATTTCGTTTAGAGTGGTTTACTAACAAAACAAATAACTCACACAGTTTTACACCGCGTGAAGAATAGCTAACTGCTTTATAGGTAATAATAATAATAACTTCGGTTTGTTTTCCAGTCAACCTACACCGGTGGATTGTACATCGAACGCTGTTTCGGAATACTCCTCGCTCCCGGCAGGAGCGTGAAGCATTCAGATATGAGGCTACTTGAAATGGTAGGTAATAGATTATCAGATTTTAAATTAAGAAGCCGAGTATTACAATCAGGATAACTATCGTCAAGCTTCCAAAGTCCAAAGAGGATTTATTTTTATATAGATTTTAAAACCTTTTAAACCCCTTTATTTTGCTACACACACATAATTTATAAGTTGACCTAACATTTATAAAGAAAATACAGTGTATATTTTATCTGTTACATTCTAAAAGTAAAAATTGTTTGCGATTTCTAGGTGAGTGGGTCATCAGGTGGATCTGGCTGTTCAGTGTGTGCGCTATGGAACGCCGGGGAGTCCGCGTTAGCCGCCTTCAACGTAGCCAGCGGGGACGGAGCACCGGCGTACATGTCACTCGCATTGGATCTAGTTATCAGAGGCATACCGGATCCTTTAAGGTATAGTTTTATGGCACAAATGTTAGCTTAAGATACTCGATTAATATTAATAAGAATTAACATTTCGGTTTTATTTTGAAAGTACCTAGTTTTGTGGAGATTGTAATGGCGTATATAAATTGAAATTAAGTATAATCCTTTCACGGAGGCCCTTTCCTTCCCCCCATCCTTGGTGATCGGGGAAGTCGGATAGATCGGGGATTTAAGGACCAATCCTCGATCTTTAAATCCCTTACAACACACAACTCACTTGTAATAGGGCCCTTGGTGTTGCGAGTGTCGATAGGCGTTGTCGGGTAATCCGTCAGCTTGTTTGCCGACTTATGACACAAAAAAGCAAAATATAATAATACCGGTCTTGTCTATTGAACACATTTATTTTCTATCCTTTTAATTTTTTGTTATTTATAGGTTGGTAATCGAGACTCCAGTCAAGATATTCCCGCCTACTGAACGGTTCTGGTACTATTCGAAGCGGCCGCTTGTACAACAGTTTTACATTAATCTGAAAGAGGTAAGACTAACTTGCTATCTCTTTTTAAACTTCTTTCTATGTTTATTATACTAAACCCTATCTAGTTATTTACACTACCTACCCCACCCTACCTACCCTAACCTATCCTGGGGCTGGGGCGGGATAGGTACCTCACCTACCATCCTGTCCTACCCACCCTACTCTTTCTTCCCTACCTACTCACACTATCCTACGTTCTTCTTCTGGTTCTAAACTCCATCCAATTCTCAATCTCAATAACTAACACGACTTTCTTTAATAAATATAAATTCCTGTGTATTCAATATCTATGTATATAAAAATCAAAATACGTCTCCTATCTCTGTATCCATATTGTATGTGTAATAGTTACTCATTTAAAATATTCTTTTTCAACATTATGACTGTATTTTTCCAGTCGGTAGACGCATTGGGTCAGCTTCAATACGAGGTGGCTAGTATCGAGACATCGGACGAGTTAGACAGGTCCCGGTTGAACTTGCCACTTTCATTGTCAAGTCTCTTGCCGTCACCTCTGTCCAGTGCGCCTGCGCCGCCTTCGCCTTCCGAGCCTGACTCTGGTAAGTACCATGAAAATATACAAAATAAACTAAAAGTAATAAGTATATTTTTTTTTGTACTATTTCAAACAACAAATGAAGTACGGCACGAATGGGTCGACTCGACCGAAGTGATACCACGGCCTCACAGAAAACCGGCGTGAAACAACCACAGCGTTGTTTTTCGCCCTGTAAGTGAGGTTCTCGGAGGCCCAATCTCTAAATATCTACAACCCTTGTCCCCAAACAGTCGGTAACGGACTGGTCCTTTGTTTTAGCGGGAATTCATGGGCGGCGCTGATTGCTTACCATCAGGTTATACGCCTGTTGTCCTATCACATCAAGAAAAGATAGTAAGGAGGAATGACGTCATCGTAATTTAATTATTGTGTATGTATGGTATTCACAGATGGCGATGAACCACTTCTGAGTGGTACTGGGGAAGTATCGAAAGATTGCGGCGAAGATGTGCTGGTCAATTGGGCACAAGTACTAAGGAGGTAAGAACTACAACTACTTTCTTAATCAGTGTCCCCTTATCACCCATTTATTACAAATGACACCTCAGAACTTACACAGACAATTGCTATTATTGTGCATTGAATATTTCCACTTTTCAGTCCAGAAGACTCGTCGGTCATAATAAAAAAGCTTGCTTGCAGTTTGCTCCAGAGTTAAAGTTTTGCCCTTTTCATAATCTTTTTTACCATACCATAACATCATAATCATATCCATATACTGCTCTTATTTTCTACATAAAGTTCATTTGCAATGTTGTCTCACAGTTGGACAGGCCCGAGGCCGCGCGCCTTGAATCACTTAGTGCGTGTCGGAGTGCCCGAAGCTCTTCGCGGCGAAGTTTGGCTGCGACTGGCTGGAGTTGACCAGAACGACAAGCTCATGGAGACTTACAGGACACTTATTAGCAAGGTGGGTTAAAATGTATATGTTGTTAGGCGACATACATAAATACTATATTGTGAAAATACATATTACCAATAATAGCCTTACACTTTGAAAGAAAACAATGTTGAGAAACGCATCCCTGTAACCAATTATAAATGTGCTATTTGCGTTAATCCCAATGATTTATTTAAGGACTGGGACCGACTACAGACAGGGCATAAATATAAGATAAGGCATCAATATGTCTTTAATTAACAAAATTCCAATTACACAATACGCTGTTACTAACTTACCAGTATATCCGCAGGATTGTCCTTTCGAAGCGGTGATCCAACGCGACATAGCGCGTACGTTCCCCGCTCACGATTTCTTCCGCGAGGCAGGCGGGCTCGGACAGGACTCTCTGCTGCGAATGGCCAGAGCCTACGCCGTGTACGACCATGAGGTCGGATACTGCCAGGGACTCAGCTTCTTGGCTGCTACTTTACTTTTACACGTAAGTATACAAATTGGATTTAAATAATAATATCATTCTGTCTTGCCCACTCTAACATCGCCAATGCCCAAAAGTCAAATCTCTAACCTCCATAGGGACGGCATCATCTTGAAACTGCTCTGGTATATCTATATCCTCCACGGGCGACGCCGATTTCTTACCATCAAGAGATCAGTCTGCTTGTTACTAATTGTAACTTATAAAAAAATCTGTCAGACGAATAAAAAATGTGTACACATTATGTTTACGAAGACCGCCAATAAAATAAGATATCAATCGATAGGGTCGCTCTCACTATTAAGAATCCTTGGAATACTTATGTTAAAACTTCGATATTTGTATTATTTTTAGATGCCTGAAGAGCAAGCGTTCTGTCTTCTAGTCCGGCTCATGTACGGGTATGGTTTGCGTGAGCTGTACAAGGATGGGTTCGAAGCTCTTTACATGAGGCTGCATCAACTCGACAGGTTAATGGAGGTAGGTCTTGATACATCTGTAATTTCTTCTATACAAAGTCTGTATTTCTTTATAAGTGCCAAAAGTGCCTTACAAAAATAAAATTGTCATTTATATTCTAGGAACAATTGACGGATTTGCGCGCTCACTTCCAAGAGCTGGGTGTAGAGCCACATATGTTCGCGTCTCAGTGGTTCCTCACCGTGTTCACAGCTCGTTTCCCGCTACCCTTGGTAAGTTACCCAATATATAAAACTTATTAATAAAAATGCTATTCAATAGTTCTGTTTTGATAAGTTTCTGTAAGTCATCTTTGCCGGTGAAGGTACTAAAATAAAAACTATATAATATAATTATTAATGATACGCATTGTTGAATAGGTTCTGTGGATTTATATTCCATACGTTAAAATTAATCCTTTAACATAAAGTACCTATCCTAAAATTATATTTGTCTTGTATCTTTCTCATATTCGTATGATTTCATCTATACGACGTTGCTCACATAACCATGTTACGTTACATCTATAAATACATAACAATGTGTTCCTTCATTATTTCTAGGTTTATCACATCCTTGACGTGTTCCTACTCCAAGGCATTGACACCCTGTTCCAAGTGGCGCTGGCGCTGCTCTCCCGATCGCGCAAGGATCTCTTGCAGCACGACTTCGAAGGGGTACTCAAGTACTTTAGGTAAGTTACTAATTGAATGTCAGAAGGCTTAAAATTCCCAGAAAAGGCCTATACTCTTAAGCATGGTTAATAAGGCTTGGCATGGAAGGGACAGTATTCTATTTTCCTGACAAATTTTGATCCTATCAGACACATAATATATACTATCTGACTCGGCGAACTCCGTACCGCCTCATATAATTATAACTTAATGTTATGTCCTGACCTTTTAATCCTTCCATTTAATATGAATGTATATAATATTTTAAAACCAAAATTATCTGCTCATCTCCAGTTTAAGCGAGACTAACAAACAACAATTGATTTTTATATTTAAGACAAGTAAATTGTTTTGGCGTAGGCCAAGATAATAGAACAACCAATGACGCGATTCTGGCATACGTCTTGCTCTTCTACATTCATCAATCTTTTCATGCATGGGAATTAAGTGTGGGAGAGCCATGCTTCGGCACGAATGGGTCGGCTCGACCGGAGTGATACCACGGCCTCACAGAAAACCGGCGTGAAACAACCACAGCGTTGTGTTTCGCCGTGTGAGTGAGGTTACCGGAGGCCCAATCCTTCCCCTCCCCCAATCCCTCCTCAATCCCTAAATCTCCAAATCCCTAATCCCGAAAAGGTCGGCAACGCACTCGTAACTTCTCCGTTGCGGGTGTCCATGGGCGGCGCTGATTGCTTACCATCAGGTAATCCGTCTGCTCGTTTGCCGACCTATCACATAAAAAAAAATGCATACTAGATAAAAGAAAGAAAGCTATCATATCCTCTTTTTAAAAATATCGTCCTGTCAGTATTGATCTTGTAAATCCTAATAATTGTTATGGTATCCTATGTGTTACAGAGTAACATTGCCAAAGAAATGTCGGGCGGAAGAATCGTCCCGCCAAATTGTGAAGCTGGCGTGCAGTATCAAAGTAAAACGATTGCCCAAATATCAACAGGAATACGAGAAATTTATTAAAGGTTAGTAAAGTGGATTTAAATCCATGAATATATTGATAAAAAACATGATTTTGACAAAATACAAATGAGTTTTCTTATATTTGGTAATTTTGAATCTTGTCTCATTTCTGTATTGATAATGACTACGAAATTTTATTCTTCTTTATAGAATCGGCCGAAAAGGAAAAAATAAACGTTGAACTCGAGCGACTGAAGGTCATCAACACACAATTACTACAGGAGAAAGAGTTACTAGAAGCACAGTTAACGGAGGTACGTACGTGAAAGATTTGTTTAAAACAAATGTATATACCATCTGGCTTCCAATCATCCACGTATAGCGATAAAAGTAGGCAATCTCTTAAAATAAAAGTCGTATTTTTGTATAAGTTGATTAAATAATGCTATTATTGTGAAGTCGTGGCCCGGAGGGTTTTTCAGAGTTATATGTCTTTTTATTATTATTTAGACACCACTGACATATGGTGAAAAAAGATATCGTGAGGAAACTTAGACTTAAAATTTCTAATTATACGTTTGAAATTGCCAATCTGCCTTGAGCAAGCTTGGTGATTAACGCTCAAACTTTCTCCTTGTTTAAAGAGGTCTTGCTCAGAAGTGGGCACTTATAGGTTGATGATGTTAAATAATGCTTATATTATATTTATAGGCCCGCACAACCTCAGAGGAAAATCAGAAAGAAGCAGCACATTTCTCAGCAGTAGCGCGGGATTATCGCGAAATATGCGCCAGACTCGACAGACAGCTACACAATATGCAGGTCAGTCTTGTGTCCTAAGTGACTTCATGATCCATAGCATTCTATACCTTATTTGTCAAGGAATTAATCTTATTCTTCTTTGCAGGACTACGTTAAGGACTGTGTCACTTGCAGTGTGAAACTTGCGCAAAAGGATAATAAAGAAGGTAATAATTATTCAACTATAATAGCTATTCCCGCGCAGTTTTAAATGCTGATCGTCTTTTATTGGTCGTAGCGTGACGTTTTATAACTTGCCTCGATAGTTGGAATAACCAACATTTTGAATAGATCTAGAGATTATTGCGTGCAATCTCTTGTTTATTTGCCTACCATCTGTATGAATATCTTAACTCAAAACGATAACATTTTTTGCAGAAGACCAAAAAGGTGACGATAAGGAGGGTTCGAGTGAGACAGAGGCACGATTAAGGCAACGCGTCCGCGACCTTGAGCTGGAGCTGGCGCAAGTGAAATTAGCGCATGTGCAGGCTCAGTGCAGCAATCAAGTAATTACATTCCTGCTTTAATTCAACATTTCCTTTTAACTTTCAAACTTGATGACTATAAATCATTGTCATGAGAAGTATAAGTGAAATAAAAGCCGCGTTCTGGAGGAAAAAAAGCTCGGAAAAAAAAATTTTGAGGAAAGTCGCAAACAATAAGCTAGTCAAACAATCATATTTGCTCTCTCGCCGATTTATTGTTGTTATAAAATCACTACATAGTATAAAACAAAGTCGCGATCTCAATCCATATATGATTCAATCCTTAAACCTACGCAACGGATTGTGATGCGGTTTTCTTTAATAGAGTGATTAAAATAAGGAAGTTTTATATCTACATAAATATCTATTAAATAGTAGAGAAGTTTACTATCAGTATTGCATTCGTACCAAGCCGAGGCAAGTCGCTTGATACTTTTATAAGCGTGTAAAATATGTCTTTTTGTGTTTAGGAGTTAAGCCATCAACTGACAGTAGCTCTGAACGAAGTACAGGCAGCCGTCAACCAGAAGCAAACAGTCGCACCCTGGCTAGTGCGCACACTCAGTAAGTTATTTATTTAACGTTCATTTTTTATTAATCACTGCACTTCATACGTGCCATAGCCTTTTATAATAATATACTTGTATATATCGAACAAGTTATTGATATAATTCTATGTACTAAAAAAAACTTGATGCTCTTTACGCTGTTAATATACGCTTTTAAAGAACTTTTGCGCTATCATTTTTATTTCGCGCAACAGATGCGCAAGGTTGCGCAGCCATATATCCTAATCCTATGCTTCAGTATTGTCTTTATGAGTTCTATTCAAAAATAATTAGGGTCCTATAAGTCAATCCTTAGCTTTGTCACATAAAAGAATCGTTTTATTATTTTTGTATTTATGTTTTTCGTGTTTCTGTTGCACTGACTTACATTCTTTCACGTGCTTTATTGGGTTATTTCGTTGAAGAGATGTTTAGAAATGATTAATTTAATATTTTTATGTTTTAGAAGCATTTTTCATAAGCATCTCCGAAATGAAATATCCAATGATATGTTAAATTGTTGTCTCTTTTGCCCCGTTGTAGGTCATTAACCAGACATACCAAGTTAGCAGACTGGAGGTGATTGCGTTCTCTATAATACTATATATGTGCTTGTCCTCATCGCTTTTTCTTCTTTTATCCTGTGGTAGTCGGTAAAGAGCTAGAACTCAGACATGGGATATGATAATATTCAACATTAACTCATTTCAAAAAATTTATTTACTTTCATGGGTTTCTGTTGGTGCATGGGTATCTTCATTAGGCTATTTCACTTTTCCGTATACTGTAAGGAATGGGTTGTTGAACATATTTATGTGGATCTCTTCCGGTGTTTTATATATTTTTGTAATCTATATGTGTAGTTAAATTAACCCTTTTGTGTTTCCTATAACTTTGTGTATTGCCAGGATTGTGACTGCGCTATTTACTTTCAAGTAGATATGTAGGAAAGTTTTCATAAATTAATGTTAAATTGTAATAAAATTTATATATTTTTCTTATAGATTCGATCATGGAAGCGGCGCAAACTCGACCGTCGTTCCAGACTTATCTTCCGAACAGTAATTCAGAACAACCCGCAACACCACTGCACAGACAAGGCTCGTTTTCATCCGGACAGTCTCACAGCCATGGAAACCTCGACCGCCGCGTCTCAGAACCGTACAGTCCCGACGTAGTGCGGAGGAAGAAAGACCTAAATGCATCCAAACGACACTCCCTACTCGTCGAGTCCAACCTCGCTAAGGAGGCCAAAGAAATCAACCGGCGGAGCCATGACGTCACAATCGTCAAAAACCTCTCGATGGGTTGACATTAACGCTCACATACTCCGATTATACTATGTTTTGTATTATTTCGGTGTGAGAGGTTGTATTAAAGGAAACGTTTGTTGTATGACACGCTACGCTGCAAGTGTACAGTTTGCGACGCAAGTTTATATCGAATAAATAGCACACATGCAACCTGTACAACGCGCGGCGTGTGAATGTGCACATAACAGTAACTAGTCATAATGTAATATAATCGCGCACGTTATTGTTTACCGAATCGATAGTATTGTAGATGTATTGGTTACCTTACCGCTTACTCGCACTACCATTCCACTAAGTAAATTTATTGTATATGAATCTCTTAAAGACATTTGGACATAATGACTCAGACATTTTGATATTTATAACACGCCCCAATTATAGTATGATATTAATTCCATTTTATACACAAATTGTAATTGGTTTCTGCGCTTTGATGCTCACGCTATACATTGAGTGCCTTCCGGTTTAGGTTAAGTGATATTTAGACATCGTATTTATTATTGACATCTTTCAGTATTTCTCCCATTATGTTACTTTTCATATTTGAACGCGGACATATTTATTAAAGCGACATATCAGAAGACAAGCAATACAAGAATCATCAGTAAATTATTGAGTAGTTATCAGTTAACGAGAATATAAGCATGGAAAATGGACTGTCTGTTCTTTTGCCCACAGAATAGTATTTAACAGAACTAAAGAGCGAATATTATAGATTCTAGTTATAAAAGCTTCCTAGACTCTCAACCTTAGTAAACATTCACGGGGTATTGACTTTTCGCCGACTCCATTATAAAGGAAGAATAGACAAAATGAAAAATAATATTATTTTTGTTCAAATCGTGTATGATATGTCTACTCTATCGCTTAGCGTTGGAATCTCAAATACATTTCAACTTGCGTCAAAAGCCATTTTTAACAGACTTCAAAAAGAAGGTGTTATGCTTTTCTTAGTTACATTTGCAGAATGCTGTGATAAAAAAACTGTATGGTGTCGTTTCTGAAAAAAGACTAGGTAAAAAAGCTAAAGTGGTTTTGTAAAGTATTTGAGGGACCGAAAGAAGTGATTGATGTTCTATCGTTTTTATTGAATTCTTATGAATATATTTTATTTAATTTAAACATTATTAATGATCGATAATTATTTCTTTTAAATTTTATATATTAATTCGTTTTGTAGATTATCTGATATTTTAGAAATTATATAAAAAAATAAAGGTGTAATAATTATTTAATGAATATAACCTATAAGTGAAAGAGTACATATAGTATTTTATTGAAATATATAACTATTTGAAATGCTTTGTAAGTTTTTCGCTTATAGGGAATTTTACGATTGCTTGAATTTTTGTATATTCGTAACATATGCTGGAATATTCTTTATCATTCTTGATGTTATTAATTGGAACTGGTTGTTTGACTTATCTAATAAATCGTGCATTTCGGACATAATGCTAAACATAAGTATACAAATTGTGTATCACGATGACATGTAACTGCCATAGAATAATTGTATAAAAAATGTTGAAATGAAAATTATTATGCCCGTTCATTGTAAATTTTTAATCCAATATGTATTATCTAACGCCGACTAGTGGTTTGTAGGCAAGCTAAATTATACCTAGTGTTATCAGTCTGTCAAAAAAGGATTAATTAACTTGGAAGACATATAATTCTATTACTATTCACTTGATTAAAGGCTGGCCTTCAGAGTGTTATTATTCTCATCATAACCATATTTTTGTTTAAAAATTACCTGTAAATAATACAAAAACATATATTTAAAATAAGATACTGTTATTAAAGAAAATTATTACGCAGTTTATTATATGAAAATTAATTGAATCTGAAGCTTACTTGACCTATCTGCCTTGGAACAGAGGGCAGAGGACATTCATAGAAATTGTCTATCTTCTTGGAATTCATTCACATTAATATAATTATTTATGCGGTAAAATGATATTTTCGCTCGCTAACTATGTCTATGTACTAAGAAAAATAGGGGAACACATAAACATTATCTGTATAGCTTACCTTTAGCTGTTGACTTCAATATGTTGCCCCTTATATGTTATTTTTCCTAATCCGTACCTGTAGTTGTCTTATGAAAAATGTATTATTTACTCATAACTTTAATGCTAGCTCTTAAGGCTTTTCAAAGATATTATCTACATATTATATCATTTGATTGACAATAATGTTCTTGTCTTCTGTTGATTTATATTTTGCTGTTTTAGTATGTCGTCTTGGCGCATGTGATCTAAACTTATGATTGATATCGTAGAAGTATTCGGTATTTGAGTTTATTGAGTTGCATCTTGTGAATACGGTATTTCGAAATGTAAATATGAATATTTGTTCGTCAAAAATTTGTCTGATTGTAGACAATATGAAGGATCAAAACTCTCTAATAATATCTCTGTTTTATAAAGGTTTAGAATAGTTTGTATTTTGTGAGTACTATTTGTTGGGCTTTCGATGGTTTATGCCTCGTACATGAAGGTTAGTTTCGATACTTTTGTGAAAATGTTTTTATAGTATAAAGTGTTGAACCTCCATGCCATACTAACCCGTTCCAACATAATTAGAGTCGCCTCGTTCACGTCTTATTGTACAGAACTTATTTTGATCTCTATTTTAATTATTATAATTATAAAATTAATCGTATGATATTTAATTAATATATATATTTGATTGCTATTATTGAAGAAGACTTGTTTATATACTTGACACGGCTTTGTTAAAACACCTACGGATTGTATCTATAACTACAATAACTTAGTCAAACTATTTTGTGATAATTTAATCCAAGTCGATGATGGACGTATAAAAATAAGTAAAAATATTAAAAAATAAAGTTCGTTGTCGACTTCTATCGCCATAACTAATCTGTACGTGTAAACAGCTGCTTAGCATTGTTGTAGACGATTATGTTCTAATAGTGACGTAGTAATGTAAACTAACAGCTTTATAAATAACGCCAATATCATTAGATAGTGATGCAGAGTTTAGAGTGAAATTGTAATCGCTGAGAAATGTTGTTTTAGTCTGTCATTTATGGAAATAAACATTTTACAAACATGGTCTCCCTGTTTTATTTACACTTTTTACACATTTTCTGTGTTTTTCCCTTTAAATAGAGATTAAATGCTACCTAGCAAATGCTACCAGCCTATAACAGCATAACAAATGTCATGTTTATTTATTACTATTAAGGTGCCTAGGCTCCTGGCTTGAGGATTTAAAAAAATACGCAGACTTGATAATAGTGACATCTTTTGATGAATAGCATATTAGAAGTGATGTTTTCGTTGTGGCATAGAAGCAACTCCCACTGATCTGGCGCGCCATCTAGTGTTGAGTAGTCAAATAAATATTTTAATATTCTGATGATAGATGTCACTAGCTATATATCTAATAATAAAAATAATTTGAATAAGGACTTGTTTCGCTATGTCTGGATAGCCATAGATACTATGTAACAGTTAATTTGGAAATGTATATAACGAAATTTGTATGAACTATATGCCTCGTATGTAAGCCGGATTCTAATACATACATAGTTTATACTGAGCAGTCTTTATAACTGATTTGTTTATTGATAGTGAGGTGATAATTAATTAAAATTTAATTTAATTTTTATAAGACTGTCAATAATCTATGGGTTTTGTAGACTTTTGCTTTTATTTTGGTTCTACGCCAGCTCTGAGTGATAGGTCTCACCAATAACCAAATATTGAAAGATTATCACGTGGACGAGGACAAGACTAATCCAAAGCTATCTATTTTCTTTAGCTAAGCAAATCTATTTTCACAATAAAATTATTATTGGTTTTTATTAAGCAAGGAAATGTTGTAAGTAAGTGTTCTGTTCTTTTCTTTGGTCTTATACCCTGTAGTTGGCAGGTTGATTACTTACCAGCAGTTTAAGCGGTAGGGTGCTGTGTAACGTGTTGCGTGTTCAATTTTTGCATCAAACAATTCCTTGTAAAACGAGACCATCAATGAAAAATTTTATGAGCCTTGACTTGTGCGCCTTCATTGATAGATAACAAGAAGAAAACCATAAAACTTATACAAAATAATTACAAAATGTAATAATTATAGGTAGCCGTATCAGAATCGTAAAACATTAGGTACGTATATTTATATATATTTTAAATACTTATACATACCATAAAATATTTATATATTTTTTAAATGCTTAATTTAATTAAAAATGAAAGTAAAACAAATTTAAGAGATACTAAATTTATCTAGCGAAAGAACACACTCTGAAAAGCTTTTACCTAAAAATAAACGATTACTAAGTATATGAAAATTAAATACTGTGAGTAAGTATCGTAAACGGGTTCGCACGTCGGGGCAGCCAGCGTGTCTGACGTAAAACTCTTCATAATAAACACACTGTTATTGTCAGCCAACTCTCTCGAATTGAGACACTTCTGATTAACCGCTAAGAGCTGGGTATTTTTAGATCCAGTTCGGCTTTGAGTTCGAGTGTTAGTGAACGTCCAAACGTTCAATAGTTTCATAATTTTTATTGACGATGCAAACGTTTTTTAATAACAGCTGCGAAGTGAGTAGATATGTAGTATTATGTACAAATAGGTACTATGTAGGTATGCTACGTGCAAATTAACAGACCTTGTACCAGCTACTCTTGTTTAAAGTAAGTACATACAGTAGATAAAATACTTTACAGTACCTGTAAAGTATTTTATCTTTTAAGCCATCCTTCGGAATAAATGGGCCGGCTTGACAGGAGTGATACCTACCCCTGGTCTCACAGAAAACCGTGAAACAATACTTCCGTTGTGTGATTGTGTCACGCTTTGAGTGAGGTAACAAAAAGCCCAATCTGCCCTCCTATCCGCAATCCTTCAATCCCCCAATCCTCAAATCCCGCCACAAGGCAGGCTCTTGTAACTCAAACCTCGGACGACCATCATCATTCATCGTGATTCATCTGCTCATTTGCAGGCCTAATGCCTAATTCCATAAATGCACCAACTACAACCCTATAGTCATGATAGACACGAGACGTGTTTATGTTCTTTATTAAAGCCGTTAATAAAACTCAATTTTAAACGAAAAAAGTACAATACAATACCTTGCAAAACTACCTACATGACAACGAACTAACCTCAAAGATGTTCCACGAGATAACGAAATAGATACTTGGCTAGCTCATGGCCTATAAAAACCATTGTAATGATCGAGCAGACACAACAAAAACACCAAAAATGTGTACAAACGCGTATAATTAATACAATAATATATTAAAACCTTTAATTTTCCAACTATTCGACCTTTATTTACGTGGGAATTGCTTACAGAAGCTTGTTTTCGCTTGTTTACGTACAACCAAGGGCAGGTGTGTCGTTGAGGCTCAGCAGATGCATTCCGTTCGCCTTCGTCGTGTGAACGGAAGTCGTTCCGGGTGGCATACTGCACTCGTGTGCAATTTACAAGGGTGTTGCTTAGTAACTAGATGAGAACGAAGAAGTTATTTATAGACCTCCTACTGATTTCGAAATACACGTACACAACAATAGTAAAAAATACACGTGGCAGGAAAAATGTTTTGCTTACTTCTTTATTTTATTTATTTATGTACCATCTTTAGAGAAACACCACCTAATGCGACAATGTTGCCATAGCATGCATAGCATGCCATACAAAGAAACAGAAAAATACGTTGTTTTTAAGAAGTTAAATTAGTAAATAAAATATAACATATTATTTACAGTTTATGTACGTATCTACACAGAAGAATAAAATAACAATCAGGTTCAAAGGCAGGCAGAGCTCATTCCTTCAGCAATTTCTTTCAGCAGACCCGCTTTTGGACAGTTACCTGGGGCCTAGATTATGTCAAAGGCAAAGTCAAAACGTTTATTGCATGTCGACTGATTGTATAAACAGAATTAGGTAGAAAAGCAATCTTACATTTTCAGCAGAAAAATAAATGCATTGTCATTAAAAAAACCTCTAAACAAGTATGCGAGGCTTATGACAATTTTATTTCATTTATACAGAACAAGCCGAGAACGGTAATTTGCATGCCACAAGAACATTAGCTAAAAAGATTTCGTCTGTTGTCTGTCTGTCGACTTCATACTTCGGAAGAGGCGATTCGATTGTATTGAACTATTAGCTCTTGGCAGACGGTAGACAGTCATGCAAGAGGCTTTCTAGATTAACTTCTCACTACACGCGAACTAAAGTTTTGTTTTATTATACGAGAACAAAACTTAGTTACATTAATCAAGTTATCATGAAAAAAAAGACAGCCATGAAATCCGTCCTAAGTTACGTCAGCAACTCCACTTCTGGTTTCCAATCTTCTGTTCATTATTTGTTCCAATGTCTGTCATAATAATAAGAATCTTTTTTTGCTCAGAACTGTTTTCTAAGGTGCACTTTCAATACATTATAGTAATTCAACCAAATATGAACTGTGATGTTGACCAAATCAATTCCGCTGGAATTTTATTTTATGTAGGTACCTACCACTGGACAGAAGTTTTTTAGTCAATAGCATATAATTTTAGCATTGATAATTATTTAACCAAAAAAAATATTATTGTTAGTTACTAGTTTCAATTCTTCTTCTTCTTCTTCTTCTTCTTCTTTTCTGCTCCTTTTGGGTGGTAGTGTAATATTTTAATCTATAGGTAAGTATAGGAACAAATAATCTGAACATTATTGCGCTTACCCCGCAACCCCGGCTGACTATCAGCCCTATAGGGCCCCGTCTGTGGTGGTCTATTGACTCTTCCTAGCATTTTTCGATAAATTGACTATCCAACACAAATAATCG